AAACTCCGTCTCAAAAAAAAAAAAAAAAAGAAGGAAAGTTGTTCTTTCTGGCTGGCTGCACAGAGAGCCATGGTCAGCGTTAGGACTTGAATCTGGGTCTGCCTGGGTGCAGGGAAGGCTACCACCCTGTCCCTCTCCTCGTGCGGAGTGAGGGGCGTCACTCACTAGCGGCAGACTTTCCTCCATGTTGTCAAACTCTTCCATGCAGACGATAGTCAGAAAGGCTAAGTCCATCTCAAGTTCATCCAACAGGCAGGCCTGGGGTTCAGAGAGGGGGCAGGAGAGGGCATGAGGCGGGCCCAGGGTACCCTGACACCCAATCATAATAATCACCGGGGCCCACCCAGGACATAGAGAATAGAGATGTGATGGCATGGGAACCCACGAGGCAGAAGACAGAGCTGGCGCCCTCGTATTTGCCTCCTGTACATTGGGCAGTTTCCCCCACCCTGGCGGGGGCTCCTGATGCCACTTACCTCCACCTTGTTGAATTTGCACTCCTCTTCCCCATGCTGGCACTTGAACTCCCACCTACCGCTGACATTCTGTTCCTGCAAGGCAGCAGGGTGAGAGCTGGCTGGCAGGCTGGGTCCCCTGCTCCCCTGCCCACGTGCCTCAGTTTCTCCCGTGCCCACGCACCTGCGCGTTTCCGTAGGGCACCAGTGTGACATTGAGGATCTCCATGACCATCAGCCATGTGGGGAAGAGCTCCCGGATCAGGAAGGCGCGGCAGCCACCACACAGGGCTTCATAGTAGAGGGTCACGTTGACAAGCTGTGCCTCGGACTCCTTGAGGGGCTTCCGCAGGTATAGACTGCCCATCTGTGGGTTAGGAAGCAGTGTGAGGCAGGTGTAGCCCTGGGCAATTCTCCACTTCTCTAAACCCCACTTGGTATTCTTTTTTTTTTTTGAGACAGGGTCTCGCTCTGTTGCCCAGGCTGGAGTGCAATGGCGCGATCTTGGCTCACTGCAAACTCCACCCCCCGGGTTCAAGCGATTCTCCTGCCTCAGCCTCCCGAATAGCTGGGATTACAGGCACGCACCACCATGCCCAGCTTTGTTTTGTTTGTTTGTTTTTTGTATTTTGAGTAGAGACGGGGTTTCTCCATGTTGGCCAGGCTGGCCTCAAACTCTTGACCTCAGGTGATCCACCTGCCTTGGCCTCCCAAAGTGCTGGGATTACAGGTGGGAGCCACTGAGCCTAGCGAGCCTTGTTTTTTTTTTTGAGAGGGAGTCTTGCTCTGTCGCCCAAGCTGGAGTGCAGTGGCGTGATCTCAGCTCACTGCAATTTCCACCTCTTAAATTCAAGCGACTCTCCTGCCTCAGTTTCCCAAGTAGCTGGGATTACAGATAGCCACCACCACACGCAGCTAATTTTTGTATTTTTAGTAGAGATGGGGTTTCACCATGTTGGCCAGGCTGGCCAGGCTCGAACTCTTGACCTCAAGTGATCCACCCACCTCACCCTCCCAAAGTCCTGGGATTACACATGAGCCACCGGGCCGGGGCCATGTTCATTTCCTGGCACTTTACCCGAAGACCTTGGCCTTGAGCGGAGCCAGGGACCCATGTGAACCCTTTCCAAGTCCCGCCGAATAGAGGCGGCACCCAATCTGTGCTAACCTCCGGCGTCAGCGGAGGGGTGGCGGGCGGCCCCGGTCGCGGGGCCGAGCAAGTCCCTCAGCCTCCAGGGAATCTGCCCGATCGGCCCGGAGGCACGCGAGCCCTGCCCCGGCTGGCATGAGCGCACGCCGGGGGCCTCGACCGGCCGCTGAACTCATCTGGCTGTGCCCTGGGCCCCAAAAGGAGACCCCAGCTCCTGCCCCAAAAGTACACAGTAGGCGCTCAATGAAATCCTGAGCGGGACTAGGCGGGTGGGGGGGGGCAGCTGCGCGTCTCAGATGCGGGATGAGAAAGCGAAACGGCCGCCGTGCCGGGGGCTGGACGCGGGTTTTCCGCGACCCCGGCAGGGTCCGCGTGCCCTGGGGCCCTGGTGTCCCCCGGGAAGTCCGGGGAGAAAGGAGGAGCCGCTGTCCCACCGGGGCGCCTATCCCCTCCAGCCGGCCCGCCCTGTCGCCGTCCCTACCTTGTGGTTGACGGGGGGCCCGTTCCCAAGGACGTGTAGCGCCTGCAGAGGGGACGCCTGCGCCGCCGCGGGGACGTCCAGCAGCAGCAGCAGCGGCGGCAGGAACAGCAGGAGCGGCGGGGCCATCGCGGCGGGGGCGAGGGTGGGGGGGGCGGCCGCCCGGGAAAGGAGCGCCTTTAAGCACGCGGCGGCCCCGCCCCTAGCCCGACGCCGCCTCCCGGCGCCCCTCCCCTCGGTCCCGGGCCAGCGCCTCTCCCTGCTCCACGCCTCCCTCCAGGTATCTCACCCCCACCCCTGCCAGGTGCTGGGTCCCCAGTCACGAGGCCATTGGGCCCCTTGGCAGTCAGCCCGGCCCAGTCATGTGAGTCCTGAGGGAAGAGAGCATTTAGGGGAGGTGAGGTGAGGCCTTCCAGACAGACACAGAGAGGCCGAGAGAAATGGGGTGTCTCCGCTCCTCGCACCCCTAGACCTTCTGGGGGCGGCTAGGGGACTTGAGGCCCAGGGCCCACTCTCAGAGGAGCCTGTGCTCTAACTGGGGTGGCGTCGGGTGGAGGCTGGGCTGTTGGGGGAGTAAGTGAATGTTCACCCCCCTGTCTGAGTGTGGGCAAGGCCTGTGTCCCTCCAGCCTGGCCCCTGACCTCCCTCACCCCCACCCCCAACCCCCTGGCCCCTTCCCCCTCGAACTTCCCAACCCTGATGCTCCAGACGCCCCCACTGCAGTCCCGTGGATCTGACTCAGGCTTGGCCACAGCTGTGCCAGAAAAGCAGAAGCCGACACAGGGAGTGGCACATCACTTCTCTAGCCCCCCCCACCCTGCAAGCCCAACTTCTGGCTTGGTGTGAAGAGAATTGGCCTTCCTTCTTTTCACGGTCCAAGGCTTGTGGGCGGTGGGGGGAAACCTGGCCTTCAAGGGGTGCCCATGGGGGAGAGCGGCAGCCTGTGCTGTTTGGGGTAGGGGTGGGTGGCTTGGAGTCCTCATGGCTTTGGATTTGAGTGATGGAGCCTCAGCTTTCCCTTCTGTGTAATGGGGAGAAGGATAATGTTGGGGGACAGAATCACCATGGAGGGCTCAGAGGCAGGTGGGGGAGAGTTGTCCCAGGCTGGGGCTTCCTGGTGGCATGATCAGGCATTGGTGCCTGCATAGAACAGTGGCCCCGGCAGTGAAGGCAGAGACAGTACCCCAGAAAAAAGGCCCAGATGGAGGCAGGAGTGTTGGGGGAATAATTAAGACATTCAGACCCTGCAGGGCCTCATTCAGGGCAAGACGCACCAGATCCTACAGAAGAAAATGTCCCAAACCTGGCGGGGAGATATAGGTGAGTCGCCAGCTGTGCCCCCTCTAGTTGTGGGGAAGACCCACACATAGCGGCTGATTTGGGAGCCAGAGTTTCCCTGAAGTCCCAGTGGCTGGATGGTCCCCCAGCCCATCCCTCAGATGACCAAACCCTTGGCAAAGCCCTTTTCCTTCTCAAAGGCTCCCCAACGCTCACTGCCTCAACTTTCATGCTTACCCTATGCCAGGTGGGATGGAAGCAATAACAATAAATATAATTGCTACAATTTTTCCAGTAGTTACTGGACACCAGCCCTATCGGAAGAAATCATAAATGTAACCTCACAATATATTCCTCTCTGGCTTGGTGCCAGGCCACAGAGTGGGCCCACAACCCATTTTATTTCATTTAATTTATTTTGAGACAGACTCTCGCTCTGCCACCCAGGCTGGAGTGCAGTGGCACGATCTTGGCTCACTGCAACCTCTGCCTCCTAGGTTCAAGCAATTCTTCTGCCTCAGCCTCCCGAGTAGCGTGTGCCACCATGCTCAGCTAATTTTTTGTATTTTTATGGGGTTTCACCATGCTGGCCAAGCTGGTCTCGAACTCCTGACCTCGTGATCCGCCTGCCTCGGCCTCCCAAAGTGCTGGAATTACAGTCATGAGCCACCGCACCCGTCCCCACAACCTATTTTATCATTGACCCTCAGAAGCATCCAGTTGGGGCTGAGGGTAGGGGCTATGGACTCCAGTTGGTAACAAAGAAATGGCTGATCAGAGAGGGAAGGCTATTTTGCCAAGGACACACAGCCAGTGGTTGAGTGTTTTAAAGGCCACACGGGATATTCTTTTCCACCCCCAGCTCAGCATAGCTGGGGCCACGAAGATGGCGATCTTTCTTCTGTGATCACATACACAGTGAGAGGCACTATCTAGGCTGGACTAATTTATGGGGCATCTCCAGACAGGACACATGGCAGGGACAGTGCCTGGCAAGGCTAGGGAGCCCTGAGGTAAGGGAAGCAGCTCCCATCCAAGGTCCTAGCAGTAGACTGGGTCAGAAGGGAGGTTTGTTCATGCGCTTGCCCCAGGCTCAGCCTTCTTGGGTCCTAAGAGGTGGCTGGACAGGAACAGACAAGGACAGGGAGGCCCCAGGGGTGGGGAGGGCTGAAGGGACAAGGATGTGGCATCCTGGGTGTGATGGGGAGGGTGGTAAACAGGAGTCAGGTTAAAGATGCTATGAGGCTACTCGTGGTGGCTCACACAATTCGGGGAGGCTGAGGCGGGAGGATTGCTGGAGACCAGGAGTTCGAGACCCATCTGGAAATGGGAAAGACCTTTGTTTTTTTCCAGAGACAGAGTCTGTCACCCAGGCTGAGGTGCAGTGGCACAATCTTGGTTCACTGCAGCATTGACCTCCCAGGTTCAAGCAATTCTGTCTCAGCCTCCCCGATTACAGGCACAGGCCACCAGGCCTGGCTAATTTTTTTTTTTTTTTTGTCTTTTTAGTAGAAACCAGGTTTTGCCATGTTGGCCAGGCTGGTCTCAAACTCCCGACCTCAACTGATCTGCCTGCCTTGGCTTTTCCCTAAGTGCTGGAATGACAGGTGTGAGCCACTGCACTCGGCAAGATCTTGTTTCTAAAAACATTTTAAAACAATTAGCTGGACATGGTGACTTGCACCCGTAATCCAGTGACTCAGGAGGCTGAGATGGAAGGATTGCTTGAGCCTGGAAACCAGCAGTTTGAGGCTGTGAGCCATGAGCTGTAATCACGCCACTGCGCTCCAGCCTGGGTGACAGAGCGAGACCATGACTCTTTAAAAAGAAACAAAAAACCCCCTCACAGGGCCTCTGCTCAGCATCCCCTGGGACCTGGCGGGCTGAACATGGGGGCAGGAGAGGTCAGATGAGAACCTCAAATGCTGGACGGAGGTGCTGATGATTTGAGGATCTCAAGACATGGGAGACCTGTCCACGTGGCATGGGAAGGTTGTGACTTTTGACGTCACTTGGGAATGAAGGAGGAAGCTGTAGGTCAGGGATGGGGTATGACTTTCCCAAGGACATAGCTGATGGCTGCCACAGGATTCATATTTGGAGTTGGGGGCGGGGGAGGCAGCTTGGAAGCATTTGAGGGGCTGGATGGGGTCTGGGGTCCCAAACTCTCTCCTGTCACGTTGAGCAGTGCCTTAACTTCTCTGGGCTTGAGCAGCTGAATTGGAGGAGGGAGGGGGTTGCCGGGCCTCAGAGGTGGCTTGGCATTAATGAATCCCGTAAATGCCAGGGTCCCCCGCACGCAGAGGTGGCAGTGAAGCCCAGTCACTGACACGAGAATCATCCACGACGTTTGATGTTTTATATCATATCAATAACAACGTACCGTACAAAACCTGCCTCCCAGCTCGCCGGGCAGGCAGAGTGGCAGCCAAGGGCGGTGTAGAAAACCAGGGCTCTCGTCCCAAAAGAGAGAAAATAGGGTTTTGCAGTCAAGGAAAAATAGAATCAAAACCCAGCGTGATGGAAGAGAAGCCCTGAATCTGCGACGGCGCGGCCGCGGGCAGTGGCGCAACTCGGCCCCTGCAGCGGCACCAGCACGGGAAGCTACGATTCCTGGGGGATGAGGGGGGTTGGGGCCGGCTCACAAGTTTATTTTTTGAGATGGAGGAGGGGTACTCTGTCGTCCGGGGCGCAATCTCGGCTCACTGTAACCTCCATCTCCCGGGTTCAAGTGATTCTGGCGCGCGCCCCAGCCTCTGGAGTAGCTGGGATTACAGGCACGCGCCACTACTCACGGCTACTTTTTGTATCTTAGTAGAGACGGGGTTTTGCCATGTTGGCCAGGCTGGTCTCCAGCTCCTGACCTCAAGAGATCTGCCTGCCTTGGCCTCCCAAAGTGTTGGGATTACAGGCGTGAGCCACGGCGCCCGGCCTAAGAGTTTATTTTAAATTATTTTTTGGGGGTTGGGGAACTCGCAGCGGCCCCATGGTGGGGATATCCCGGTGGCGGGTTTCACTTCAGGGTTTGGAGGGGAAGTTGGAGTCTGTGGGGCGGGTCCCGCCCGGCCCCGAATGTCATGGCCGAGGTTCTCGGAAGCAGAGGAGTCAAGTTCCTTCCTGCCCTGACCCCAGGTCTATGGCTTAAAAATCGGGGTGCCCAGGCTGGGGCCGCGCAGCCCAGGGGTCCTCTGTAAACATGGCAGGTACAGCCAGAAAGGGCTTCCGGGACCCCAGGGAACCTGCGGTGGGCAGGGCAGAGGGTCAGGGTGACTAGAGCCATGGAGAGGGCAATGCCCGGGGGGGATAAGGAGATACGGGGTGGGGGAGGCAGGACCCCCAACATGGAGACAGAGAGACAGAGGCTACGAAAGACAGAGTGAGAGTGAGAGAGAGGAGAGAGAGAGAGAGAGAGAGAGAGAGAGAGAGGGAGAGGGAGGGAGGAGACAGAGGGAGATCTGGAGAATGGGGGCGGGAGGGAGAGAGAAAAGGAAAGAGAAAGAGGGTGAGAGGACCCCAAACGAGAGCCAGAGCCGGAGAAGTGAGGACCCCTGGCTGTGGCTGGTCCGTTCCGTGGCTCCCCGCAGCAGCCTCGGTGCAGACGGGACCAGGGGGCGGCTCTGCCGGGGGCGGGTCCTCGGCGCTCAGCGGGCGGCAGGCGGCGGGCCGGGGCCCGGGGCGCGCACCGGGTGCGCCAGGGTGACCGTGAGCGCGTCGTTGTGCTGCACGAGCGAGGCGTGCTGGTAGTGCAGCACCAGCTCCTTCAGCGACCCGTACAGGTTGTAGGGCTCCGCGAAGCCGAAGCCGGTGGCCGTGCGGTAGATGACGCAGTGCTTGGTGTCGCCGTCTACCCTGTGAGGGCGGACGAGA